TACAATATTTAGCATATTTTTATTAACTAAATGGAATAATGACATGATAGGTAAACTATAGATATTTAATTATATATTCTTATAAACTAAGTTTGTAATCCCAGCCTAGACTTTGAATTACAAGTTACACTTCAAAAAAAAAGAATTTTACATAAAGTAGGTTCATTAAATGTAATGGCAATATTATTTTTACTTATGTTTTTAAAGAAATGCATATTTTAGCTTGGTAATTGTGGCTCACACTAGTAAACCTAACTACTCTAGAGGCTGAGATCTGAGAATTACAGTTCAAAGCTAGCCAGGCAGAAAAAGTTCATGAGACTCATATTGCTAATTAACCACCAAAAGTCTGGAAGTGGAGCTGTTGGTCAAGTGGTAGAGTGCTAGCCTTAAGTGTAAAAAGCTAAGGGACAGCACCCAGACCCTGAGTTCAAGCTCCAGGAACAGTACAAAAGAAAAAAAAAAGCTCATCATTAAAAATGTAGTTATTTTATTCTTGATAAATTATATGACTATAGTTGGAAAGAATTCTATGAAAAAATTAATAGTTTTCCATATCTCACAATTTATTCATAAATTGGATTGCATACATTTAATTTCATAAAGTGTGAAATTCAAGTTAGAACAAGACTTGAAATATGAAGACTTTCACATGGCTGCCATCTAGTGGTCAAATGTAATCATAGCATGCTGAAATCAAAGTACTTTTGGTTATCAAATATATTTTGATACTAAATGAAAAGTCAAAAAGATTTAAATTTGATATCTTATCATCTTTATTTATCCTTCTAAGTTCTGATATTAATCTGAAGAGTTGAGATTATTAAAACATGATGGTAATTACACCAGTTGGATGGCTAGATGGAGAGCTTCCAAAACATTTCATTTGAATGTGAACCTCACAGTGTTGTCTCTGGTTTATTATAGCTGGGTAGTGGTCTGTGTCTTGCATTGCACTGTATTTTACTTGTTCTAGTGCCTCTTACCATGTTTGTCAATATCAAGGGACCGGAACACAGTTTTAAATAAATGTGACTCACTTGACTGTTTCCAGAACTAAAGAAAATCATTGAAACATGATTGAAGAAAATGCACCTTGATCTTTCTGCCAATGCCATCTCGAGCAAAAGATAAATGCATGGTCCCTAATTGTTATCCCTATGACCACCTAAGCTGTAGCTAGGAGGAGGCTGGAGCAGCCATCACTAAGTAGTAATTACTCCAGGAGCAATCACAGACAATGATCTGATAGGTACCTCAAACATTTCTGATGCTTTTTATTGATGTGATATAAATATAGATAGATAGATAGATAGATGGATTTGTCAGACAGATTTTTATTTCAGGGTGAAAGCCTGAGAGGAATGCCAGAATCTTCCAGACAGACTAGAGAGATAGCAGAGATACAATATATTGAGTAGTGCAGTCTGACCTTGAAGTTTGCCTAATTTAAAAAAGGGGGGGGGGGTGGAGAAAGGCACTAGGGAGAACGGGGCTTTAGTAGGTCCGAAAGACAGAATTAAGCTTGGTTGTTTACTTGAAATACATATTCTTATCTGACTTGAGTTTCCTGAATGAAGAGAACTGCTCTTAACTACCTAGCCATCGAGCATGAGGAACTAACAAGGTGCATGAGGGATTTCCCTGAAGGCTGCTGTGTATTTGGTGAGTAAACATGTTTCTATTCAGGTGGATCACTGGCAGAATGAGTGGATGGATCCCGAGACACTTGTGGTCAGAAACCTGCTCTGCATCCGTGGAGGGACAGCTCCCGAACCTCTGGAGCTTCACTAGCAAAAACCGACCCAGGGCATTGATTTTCTTGGTAGGTATTTCTTAATTGTATTCCAATCATTTTTCTCTCATTTTGAGGCATGGTCTTCAGTTTTCTGTCCCTTCCTCCTACTCTTCTTTCCCTTCCCTTCCTCCCTTCTTCCTTCCTTCTCTTTCCCTTGATGTTCTCCCTCCCTCTCTTCCTTCATCCTTCCTTCTTTTCTCCCCCATTTTCTCCCTCCCTTCCTTTCCTTCCTTTTTCCTCCCATCTCTCTCTTCCTCCCTTCCTCTTTCTCCCTCTCTTCCTTCTCTGCTTCACTCCCTCCCTCCTTCCCTCCTTCCTTCCTTCCTTTTATCCTCCCTTCTCTCTATCCTTCCTTTTTCTCTTTCCCTCCCTTCCTTACTTCCTCTTCGTTTTTTTCCTAGCCTTTTCTTTTTACAATGGTTATTTACACCAATCAAGATAATGAACTATTATTTTAAAGAATATATACAAATATTCAGTAAATTAGGGCAATTTTTTGTCCTAAAAATCTATTAACATAGAGCTTTGCTATAACCAAAATATATGGCATAAACTATGCTTGCCATACTTCCAGATGAAAGTTACTTATTACACCAACAACTATATATATATTCAAAAGTTGCTTTATTTATTGAGGCAGTACTGGAGTTTGAACTCAGGGCCTAAATCACATTTGCCTACTTGGCTGATGCTCTACTACTT